AGGGCCCTGCTCAATGAGCTTACATGCTAGAGGGAGTTGGGTAAAATGACACAAAAAGGTAAAGATAGTATTGGACTAGTGACAGTTGCAGAAGAGGAATCAGTCAGGAGCTATTAACAGTTTAATTGATACGCTTTTATGAATAAGTGGGTTATTAACGATTTTTTGAAGGAGTGGAGACTGGGTGAGCATCTAACGGAGGAGGGAAGCGAGTTCCACAGGAACGGTGCAGCCCTCGATAAATCTTGAAGGCGAGCATCAGAGGTGGGAGTACGGACAGAAGATAGACAAAGTCTTCGGCAGATCGTAAGGGCCTAGACGGGACATACTTGTGTATAAGGGAGGATAGATAGGTGGGAGCAGCATTATGTAGAGAAAGCAAGAACCAGAATTTTAAAATGAGCTCTATATTTTATAGGAAGCCAATGTAGGGACGGACAGAAGGGTGAGGCATGGGAGGTGCAGGGGCAGACAGGTAGATGAGCCTCACCACCGCATTCATTATGGACTGTAATGGTGCAAGTTGGAAGCACATAAGACCACTGAGAAGCGGATTACAGTAGTCAAGGCAAAAAAGGACAGTGGAATGGACCAACACCTTAGTTGCATCTGGCGTTAAGTAGGGGCGGAAGCGCGCAATGTTTTTGAGATGGAAATGACTGATCTGGCGATGGATGGAAAATGAGGCATGAAGGAGAGGTCTGAGTCAAAGAGAACACCCAGGCAGTGAGCCTGCATGGTGGAGCTGATGGTAGCACCGTTGACTTTGGGGGAGACAGGAGTAACAACACTTGAGGAAGTAAAGACCAGAATTTCAGTTTTGGTCAGGTTTAGTTTAAGGAAGTGGACAGTCATCCAGTTAGAAAAAGCAGAGAGGCATTCATTACACTAGTCAAGAGGAATTGGGAGAGATCAGGAGAGGACAGGTAGATTTCCATGTCATCTGCATAGAAATGATATTGGAAGCCAAAGGAGCTAATGAGTTTACCAAGGGAGGCAGTATAGATGGAGAACAGCAGGGGACCAAGGACTGAACCTTGGGGGACACCAACAGAGAGGAGTTGAGGAGAAGAAGCAGAGCCAGAGAAAGAAACACTGAAAGAGAGCTGGGAGAGGTAGGAGGAGCACCAGGAGAGAGCAATATCTTGTAGACCGATATTGCGGAGGATGAGAAGAAGCTGTTGATGATCAACAGTGTCAAAAGCCGCAGACAGGTCAAGGAGAATTAGGATAGAGTAGTGACCACGAGATTTTGCAGCAAGTAGATCATTGGATACTTTGGTCAGTGCCGTTTCCACAGAGTGCTTAGCGCGGAAACCAGACTGAAGCGGGTCTAGCAGAGAGTTGGACTCCAGGAAGTCTGTCAATCTCGCATACGCAATTCTTTCAAGGATCTTGGATGCAAAAGGCAGTAGCGAGATAGGACGATAGTTGGATGGGGAGTTAGGGTCAAGATTGGGCTTCTTTAGATTTGGAGTTACAGTTGCATTTTTGAAGGGCGATGGAAATATACCAGAGGAGAGAGAGAGATTGAAAATTTTAGTGAGAGGTGGAGAAAGAGAAGAAGACAGAGTACAGACGAGATGCGAGGGAATTGGATCTAGGGAGCAGGTGGTGGGGCGGTAGAACTGGAGCAGAGCAGAAACCTCTTCCAGTGTAGCGGGTGCGAATGAACATAGAACAGCATAGGGAGTGAAGTTAGGGGAAGTATTGTAAGGAGAAGAAGAAAGATAAGAGATCTCTTCTCTGATTGTAGAGATCTTGTCAGTGAAGTGAGTTGCAAAGTCTGAGGTGGTCAAGTTAATAGGTGGAGGAGGAACAGCAGGGCGAAAAAGAGAGTTAAATGTGTGAAATAGTCGTTTGGGTTCACGGGAGAGTGTGGTTATGAGGGTATTGAAGTAATTAACTTTTGCAGAGGAAAGAGCCAAGCTGTATGAGCTCAGCATAAATTTATAGTGGAGAAAGTCAGATGCACAGTTAGACTTTCTCCAACAGCGTTCAGCAGTTCTGGAGCATTTTTGGAGGTATCGAGTGAGCTTGGTGTGCCAGGGTTGTTTTTGGGGGCGCCTGCAGAGTTTAAATGTACAAGGTGCCATGATGTCTAGTTGAGAGGAAAGGGTGGAATTGTAGAAGGAGGTTGCAGAACTAGGACAGGTGAGGCTTGAGATAGGTAAAAGGAGAGTTTGGAGATTAGTGGAGAAATGCTCTAGGTCAAGACATTGGAGGTTTCTGTGAGAGTGATGTTCAGACGATGGTGTCAGTTGGGTCTTAGGTATGCCAATGTCAAAAGTCAGCAGATGGTGGTCAGATAGAGGAAAAAGAATATTGGAGAGATTAGAGGCAGTACAGAGGTTAGTGAAGGCAAGATCAAGAGTGTTTCCCACTGTATGGGTTGCTAAATTGGACCATTGTGTAAGGCCTAAGGAGGAGGTTACAGAGAGCAGACGAGAGGCATCAGTGCAATTGGGGTTGTTGATTGGGATTCTGAAATCCCCAAGTATAAGGGAAGGAGTGCTAGATGAGAGGAAGTGGGGAAGCCAGGAGAAAAAGTGCTCATTGAACAGTCTAGGATAACCGAGGGGGGCGGTAGATGATAGCAATTCTTAAAGGAGTGGGTTTAAATAGGCGGACAGTGTGAACTTCGAAAGAAGAAAAGGATAAGGCAAGGGGAGTTATGATTGGTTGAAAGGTACATTGTGGGGAGAGAAGGATGCCTACGCCGCCTCGTTTACAGCTGAGTCTGGGAGTGTGAGAGAATTGTAGCCCACCAAAACATAAACAGGCAGGAGTAGCGCTATCAGAGGGGGAAAGCCAGGTCTCTGTAAGTGCAAGCAGGGTGAGTGAGTTTGAGATGAAAAAATCATGTATGGTTGTTGATTTTAAATTACTGCAGATGGAGCGGGCATTCCAGGAGGTAAGGGGCAGGGTATTGTGATGAGGTTTGTGGGGTTTCTGGTTGTCTTATTGTGTGTAGAGAAGGTGAAGGGCCCTGGATTGGGAGAGACATCACCAGCTGCTAGAAGTAGGAGGAGAGAAAGTGACAGGAGTTGTAAATGGGTTTTGTATGCATGGGGTCTAGGATGAGATCGATTGTGGGTCGGAGTGAGAGAGTAGAAAAATGAGTGTAAGGCATGAGATGAGAGAAGGGGGGAGTGTAGCAGAGAGGGGCATATGTAAATGTGGATGTGGGATGAGTGAAGTGGGTGTAAGGAGAGATTTTTATACTGAGGGAGACTGAGGACGTAAAGAGGAGGAGAAAACAGATCATTGCTAAACTGTGAAAAATAAAAATTGGAAACATACTTTCTTTCCTCTTCTTTTCTCTCTAAATACGATAGTAGATTTTAACTAACACTGATTAAATGCTAAGTTTTAATTAGCATTTACATTATTATTTATTGTTTTTATTAATTGGCGTGGGTATTTTCACGTTATATGTACAAATAGGGCAAATATGCTTAATACAATATCTAATACCTCATGACCAAACAAAAAGATAAGTTTCAAGATCTATTGATCTATCTAAAAATCAAATATCTATTTAGATTCTGATTTTCCAGGCCAGTTTGAGGTTTTGAGAATTCACATTATGATTCATTGTGTAAGTTCAGGGTTTTCAAATATGTAATGTAATATTTTTTTAATGCATTAAGCAAAAAGGTATACTAGCACGCAGCTAAGGTATCCTAAGAATTATTTTTGAAATACCAGCCTATCCTGATTTTAAACACCAAAACAATCATTATACTATCTGTATGATGCATCAGAATTTTTACAAATATGCTTTCATTGCATTGTTGTATTAACTATAACAGAATCTCTATGGGATCTTTGATTAAACAAGGTCCCAGATGCCATGATGATTCTTGGCCAATGCATCTTCTTTATAGCTGGAGCAAAGGGGTCAAGATGGTCACTTCATCTGAGATGTTCTACTGCAAGAAGTGTGGTTTCAGAGCAGTGGACAGATAGCTGGGTCTGGGTACTGTAGAGCAAGCTGCCGGATCAATAGGACTGAGTCTCCATTATTTTGTAAGAATTCATTGTGTAGTGAATGACTTCAAAAATACATTCCCTCTATTTAAATAACAAACTTTGGTCAAATCCAAAGATTTTCACATACTTTCAATTATGATACACATCAAAGCCTATGTGAATTAATCAGTGTATGTACAGTCATGGGTAAATAAAGTACATCCTCTTTGAATTCTATGGTTTTTACATATCAGAACATAATAACAATCATCCTTCCTTAGCAGGTCTTAAAATTTGGTATACAACCTAAGATGAAAAACAACAGTAGTGTGTCTTCCTACCTTTGCCTTATAGGCCAGCTTTCAGGTGGTAGCAAGCCATATAATAAAGGGGAAATATGGCAAAGCCATTCCCCACTCATCTTAGACTGAGTCAATTGATGAGATTTAAACTGTAACCTCCCCCTTTTCCAGACAGATCCCCTCAGAGCTGACTTCAGGGAAGTAAAATGTTCTCAGATTCACCATCTTCCTTTAGATCAACTTCAATGCTACTGCATCATTATACTACTCCATGAACACATTACAAGAAATCAATAACAATTTGCATCTTGCACATGGCCAACAAGTCAGTCCTCGGTTTTGGAGGTGGTTTGTCACACCTTTCCGCCCTGTTGACAGTGTATTTCAGGCAGATGGAGTATCTCCACACGACGGAGTGTGGAGATTAACATTAACATTAACATGTATTCGGACATCTAGATTCAGCTGGGGAGAGACAGAGCAAATTAAATGGAGCAAAGAAGAGAGGAGGGATACCTGGTAGGCACTCATCTACCCATATCTTTCCACTTTCCCTTTTTCATCACCCTTGTTTTTTCACCCTTACCTTCTTAGTTAATGGAGACAATAGCTAGAATAATTCTGATGGGTCAAGAGACTCCCTGCAGAGAGAATCAAGACAGGACTACAGGAGACTTTGGACTCACTCACATGGCCTCAAAAGGGAAAACCCAAGGGTAACTCATGAGCCGAGAACAGCACATAAGAAGAACTGACATGGGGGGCGTGGCCAACCACAGAGCTGCATGGCCGTGCACTAACTCAGCTGTAAGTGAATCCACACTAATCGGAGATGAAACGACACTATGGGGAACCCCAACAGTAAAAAATCTGGTACAAAAATGGGGCTCCTTAACCCGTTACTTTAGAGATTCCTCGGACCGTGAGGCCGGAGCAGAGGTAATCAAGATGACTGCGATGGAATCAGAAAACGACATAGAGCCGTCTAGCCCGGTGAACTCCGAGATCTCCAACAAATCTCTGGAATCAAGAAGAGATGCAGACATCAGGGACTTATTGAGAAACCTGCCATCGAAAGCAGACTTAGCTTCTATGCTGGGTAAGCTGGAGGCGACATTTCAAAACAAGATTGAAACTATTGAAGCTGAAGTGCAACAGGTTAGTCATCTTGTTACAGACCTAGAGGAAGAGAGGGACGTCATACAGGCCCAAATCACCTCTCTTATACATTGGAATCCCAAACAAGTGCTCTAATGGGATTCCAAAAGTATGTGGATGACATTGACAACCGGGGCCGCCAAAATAATTTAAGAATGAGGGGTCTACCTGAAACCCAAGGGGAGGATATTGTATTGATGCTCTCTGAACTGTTCAAGCTGCTATTAAACAAACTGGGAGACCATCCTATTCTATTGGACAGGGCTCACAGATCCCTTTGTCCACGGGGAGCTACGCAAGACACCACCAGGGATATTATATGTAGACTGCACTACTTCACAATTAAAGACGAGATCCTTAGATCGCTCAGGGATACCACCCAACCTCTATTATTATAGATATATCCTGATCTAACCTGGTATACACTCCAAGCCAGGAGATACCTGAAATCGGTCACAGAATTACTAAGACAACGCAACATCAAATACAGATCGGGCTTTCCATTTGCCCTAATTGTGACACATAAGGGAGTCCCAAACAAGCACTCTAATGGGATTCCAAAGGTATGTGGATGACCGGGCCGCCGAAATAATTTAAGAATGAGGGGTCTACCTGAAACCCAAGGGGAGGATATTGTATTGATGCTCTCTGAACTGTTCAACCTGCTATTAAACAAACTGGGAGACCATCCTATTCTATTGGACAGGGCTCACAGATCCCTGACAGATTTCTATAACCTCACATATAGATTTCAAACCATTTTTGAGGGCATTGGAGCTGCCTGACACGCAAGTGATGGATTGGAACCAGCCACCCACAGGAGCAGAAGGAACTTCCCTCCGGAAGAGACACCGTGCCTATACCCTTCTGAAAAAGAGGAGACCGGAGCATAGACTCTTTTCACCCAATAGAAGAAACCCACAAGTCCAGGGAGAAAACTACAATTAACCTGGGCATGGCCGTTTCACCCCGGAATTAGTGCGACAAGATATTGGAGAGAATGTGGGGTATTTGCAACAGGATGAACCTCGACCTCGTTACCCTCTGCCCAACCCCTATCTCTCCCCTACCCTTCAAGTCATGACAGCTACTGGAATCAGGCACAAGATCTGACATAAAACCCAGAGACTCAATAGCAAGATCTACGCATATACCTGCCTCTACCACGAACTTACGAGCCAACTGATTGAGCTGAGGAGACAAATCTAATCGTTCTCACCATCCTGTACCACACATATACTGGACTTGTCTCTGGCAAGATTTAAAAGCGGAGAAACAAGTGGTGAGACCAGCTCCGAACAGGTCGTATATCTCCAGGCTGTATTGTTATGAATAATATTGTCATGTATTGTCAGGTTATATCATTGTTCTCCCTTTCCATCCTCCCCTCCCCCCCCCTCTAATTGCACTACTACAACCCAGGTTCCCTGAAAATCGCTAGTTTTTAACCACCCTTCAGAGATGTAGTAGTCTCCCAAGCAATACATTCCTTTGCCGTGGTATTCACTGTTCCAGGTGTTCAGTGATCACTCACCCACAAAACCAGCAGTTCCTCTCTTGAACGAGAGGGAACTAGCAAATTACCGAAACACCCAAAGGGCTTTTCTTACTACACAGACAATCGTCGCAATCCCTCAAACTTGGGGTATCATTTGGTAAAGAGGTAGAGAATCTGCTCCACATAGCCTTTCACAATATCCTAGAATTATATATACATATATACGGTTATATCACTGTTAAAAATTGTAAACAGTGATCTGTTCATTTTTCCTTTTAGTTTTTAATCTCCTTTATGTTATTATATTTTTCTTTAACTTACCTGTGTACAGCTGGTCAATTGACCAAAAAAATGGTAACACAATATTAAGCAAGTAACGTGACTCTTGTAATAGACATAGACCTCAGACCAGAGTTATCTAAGACCGAGAGACCCTCAGTTTGATTCACACCACATCGAACAATATCCACCCCAAAGCAGAGAAGAGACCTACGCTGACACCTACGACATGTCCACCATACGAATTCACCTGCAAAATGCACGAGGGTTCAATACCCCAGAAAAACGAGCTCTAGCACTAGATGACTTCCATAGAAATAAAGCAGAAGTAGTGTTCATTCAAGAAACCCATTTTAGGAAAGACTCAGCCCCATCCCTACGTAACCGCAAGTACCCTACAGGCTACTTTAGCCACTTCATAAGTGCTAAATCAAGGGGAATAGCGATACTAATAGGTCAATATGTACCCTTCCAATTCATAGATCAGAAATCTGATGATGCAGGAAGATATATATTTGTGAAAGGGAAAATTGGGAATGTGGTAGTCACTCTGGCAAACCTGTACCTACCTAATAAAAAACAGTGCCAGGCACTGCAAAAAATCCTGCACTTACTATCCCAGTTCCAAGAAGGCATATTGATCATGGGTGGCGACATGAACATAGCACTAGATAGCGATTTAGATACATCATCCTCACATAGCAAATATAATACATCGGCCCGCACTAGGTTCCGTAATATCCTACATGACGCTAGACTATTCGACAGCTGGCGGTCATTTTATCCCACCAGCAAAGACTACTCCTTTTTACTCACCACCATCAGGTAGCTATTCCAGAATTGACATGCTATTTCTTCAACAGAGTCGACTGGATCTTCTCAGGGGTGCCGCATATGGTCAAATTTCATGGTCAGACAATGCCCGCTTCTCAGTGGATCTAATGATCCCAACCCTACCCAATTCGCACCCCCAATGGAGACTAAACGATCTCCTAATGAACCAACCGGAACATATCACCATAATACAGGAACATTTAAGCCAATACTTCAAAGAGAATGAACATCCAGACACAACGCCAGCTTTGGTATGGGAAGCACATAAGTGTGTAGTTAGAGGAGAGCTTATAAAGTTAGCCTCCAAATTGAAACACGAAAGGGAGAGCAGAATTCTTTCCCTAACCAAACAGATTAAAAATATGGAGGAACAACATTCTAGAGATCACACTTTAGACACTGACAAGACATTACTAACATTGCAAACTGAACTCACTACTACTCTAAACCTCCATGCAAAAAAGAAAACTAACTTCAAAAAACACACTTACTACACATGGGGGGGAGGGGGAAAGTTGCTGGCACAGGCTTTGAGACAGGGTAAACAATCGACCTTCATAGAGGGCATTAGACTTCAAAATGGGAAATACACTCAATTGATGCCTGAGATCCTGAAGGCATTCACAGAATACTATACAGGGCTCTACAACCTCCGTGAGTCACCTCCCAACCCCTCAGAAATACAAAACTTCCTCAGAGGAAGAATCAAACGCACACTACCGGCAAATTAGAGAAACTTCCTAGAGAGCCCCATCTCAGCAGAATAATTCCACTACACAGTTAAGAAACTCCCACTGGGGAAATGCCCAGGCCCAGATGGCCTCACAGGGAAATACTACAAATCGATGGCCCATAACCTGGAACAACCTTTCCTTAAGGCTTTCAATGCCAGAGACCTAAAACACACTATTCCCCACTCAGCATTGGAAGCAAACATTGCCTTAATACCAAAGGAAGGGAAAGACTCATCCAAATGTGGTAACTACAGACCCATCTCATAAATAAAAATTGACATAAAGATCTTTACTAAAATACTGACCAAGAGACTGAAACCCCTCCTCCCAGGACTAATAAATGACGACCAGGCAGGCTTTGTCCCTGGTAGGGAAGCAAAAAAACAATACCACCAAAATTATCAATCTAATGCACTGGGCGCCCAACAAAGGCAAGACCTCCCCTAACATCCTACTAGCAGTGGACGCAGAGAAGGCGTTTGATAGGGTAGATTGGTCTCTCGTGATTGCCACATTGAAGAATCTGGGATTCGGGGAGAGGTGGGTGGAGTGGCTGGAAGCAATATACTCCATTCCTACGGCTAAACTCCAAATTAATGGGCAACTAACCGACCCAGTTCCGATTTGTAACGGAACAAGACAGGGATGTCCCTTGTCGCCCCTAATCTTTATCCTGACACTAGAGCCATTCATACAAGGGATCAGAGATAACCACCTGATAAGGGGCTTCACAATTAACAAAGAAGAGTACAAGGGGTCCGCGTTTGCGGACGACCTTCTTTTTACAGTCACAGACCCTAATTCATCCCTCCCCCAGATTCTTAAAGAAATGGACCTATATAGCATAGTCTCAAACTTCAAAGCCAACCTCACTAAATGCGAAATTCTCCCACACAATATCACCCAAGGACCAGAGAAACAACTTAGGGGCTCCTTTGCCTTCAGCTGGGCAGCCAACTCCATTAAATATCTAGGAGTACATCTGCCTAGAAGACTAGATCGCCTCTATGAACTTAAGTTCCCCCCACTCTTAAAAGCTATATCCTCTGATTTGATGAAATGGCACAGACCGGGGTTCAGCTGGTTCTGCAGAGTAAATATCATTAAAATGAATGAGCTCCCGCGTCTTCTCTACCCCTCCAAACCCTGCCCATAGCTATCCCAAAGACATTTCTAAATGCAGTTCACAAGACCATCACAACATTCATTTGGGCCCCCGATTGGCATATTCCATTCTAATGACAAGAAGAAGGGGTCGGCCTACCTGAGTTCGACACTTACCACAAAGCCATGCATCTAGCCAGAGTTTATGAGTGGACTAAAACTTCCTCATCACACCAATGGAAGACAATAGAGGGATCTTTCCTCAGGGTGCCCATACACACCGTGCCCTGGCACAAAGCAGCATTAAAATTGCTTTCTTATAAACAACAACCCACAATAGGGACAACTCTCAAGATATAACGCACTTTCACCATACCCCTCCCCGCTATACCCCATCACACATAATCTTTTCTTTGAACCGGGGTTAACGGGGAGATTATTAGATCTAGACCACACAAGAGCACATATCCAACTCAGAGAGGTGGTGAGAGACGAATCCATTACACCTATACATAAACTCACAGCGACCCAATATCCAACGTGGCTGCAGAAAATGTACTATACACAACTGACACATTTTATTCACTCCATGAAATTGATTCCAACAGGGGCAAGGGACCTCACGGATTTTGAAAACTTATGCACAGAGCATCCTCTCAAATGTAAAATACTTTCAACAATGTATAAACACCTCCTTCCTATGTTAGGAAACGAGAACCCATCCGCATGCACGGCCACACAGGAAGGTAACTATAAAAGACTAGCTAGATGACATTATACACCCTTTAAACTCCACAAAATATATACCTCTACTCAGTGAGTGTTAGTGAGTGTGTGTGTGTGTGTGTGTGCTAGTTAGTTAGTGCGTGTGTGTTAGTGAGTGAGTGTGTGTTAGTGTGTGTGTGTGTGTCTGTTAGTGAGTGTGTGTGTCTGTTAGTGACTGTGCTGTGCAATTAGTTATTAGTTTAAGCAGACTGTGATTGTCTATTGTTGTGACTTAGATGATGATCAGATCACATTTTATGACCAATTTGTGCAGAAATCCATATCATTCCAAAGGGTTCACATACTTTTTCTTGCAACTGTATACAGTTCAACTGGCTTTGCCTTTTCCTGTTTCCTGAAACAACTGTGGACAAGGATACCCCCCTATTACAGTGGACATCTTATATAACACCAAAGCTATTACCTGAGCCAGTTACTTTTAACAGGCTGTAGGAAATGTGAGTGTCATACTAACTATATATTTAATATTCAATTTTCCACAATATTGTATACTATTGGGTTGCCCTAAGAGAGTTTTTGTCTCTTTCATTTCTAGTGGCTCCTTTTAACACGTCTTAGGGTACAGTATGTTATACCTCGTATCACTTGGTGCATACATTTTTTTATGAACCTTTGTTTTTTGCTTTGTTCACTACCTCTTGTTTATTGTATTTATTGTTACAGTGGAATTATTGTGGTTTATTCCACAGTGTTAATCAGCTGCACTTTATTTTAGCTCCATATATTACACACCATATGCACTTTAATTTTAAAGAAATACTTTAAGCATCATAGCAACAGCAGCACATCGTATTGGTTATGGTGCCAGGAGTGGTCTAGTACACTCCCAGAGTAATTAGTCAACTATATTCAAATGGGTTGACATCTTACTGGGGTCAGCCTCTTGTCAAGCTGAAAAGTCCTGCAATGAGCACCTAAGCCCTGCTCTACAGGGTCAACTTATTGGTTGAGAGTATATGCACTCTCAGCGAATAAGTTTACCGCCACACCACCAACCTAGCTCAATGCAGTGAGCTTCTCGCAGCACACAAGAAGGTGACTGGTCCCCAAGCTTGATAAAGACCATTAGAGCAGTCAAAATATTGCTGTTGTACACTTTGGGCACCTGAATAAAGGGGCACTACTTTTATAAGGGAGTGAAGTTTATTTTTTATACTTTACTTTTGCTTTCTATATACTGGTTTGGGCAGAACCGGTTCCTTGCACCCTTGTTTGGATGGTAGGTTATGTTCTTATGTCTTACTTTGGAGGTATTAATCCAGGTAAGTCACGCGTTCTACAAAAGAGGACATTTAGCATTGCTATTCCCTAGAAGTAGGAAGCATGGGAAAATGTTTTAAAGTACACATGATGCTGTCAGAGATGAGAAATAACTCTAAGATAACAGCAAAATCACTTGCCAAATCTTATTTCTTTAAAGGAAACTCTGACCAAGAATAGGATATTATAGGGGGGCGGAGCTTGACCACCGAGCCGTGCAGTCGCATCTGCCACGAGCTCTGATCCGGCGGGCAGAACCCGGGGTAGAAGCGACGGCTAACAAGCCCACAAAAATCGGAGGGTGCACTACCTACGTTGGGGGTGCCCCACTGAGTAATCCGACACCACCCCGGTGCCTGTCGATGCCGGGAAAGCGGAGTTCCACATGCAGCATACTGGGACTGAAGCAGGGGGGAGATGGCCGCTCCCCTCGGCGCAAGAACCCACAAGCTACTACACCTCAGCATACCCCCCCCGTGGACCGGTGGGGGACATCCCAGTCTCCGAAGCACATACGGACCAGCATGGAACAAGACCACACCAACCACAACAAATGGTGGGGCAACAGAGGTACAGCCAAAATGGCCGACCAACCTGAGCAGAGCAGACGGAGCACCTGCACAAGGGCACATATGTCCCCTATGACAATATTTGACCGGACCTGCGCTGGTCTCAGGGCAGCACTGCGAAATCGGGGAGCAACTCACCGCCAAGCTGACCGGAAGGTGGCCTCATGGTTGTGACCAACAGCGCGACGCAGGCACTACATACAGGTACCCCAAGCATCCAAGATGGCCGTCAGGCAAAATCGATACCGAAGGGCATCGAGATGGGACACACGCTCTCACCTGCCCACAAGCAAAGCCGAGATCTCCAATCCAACAACGACGCACACTACTAAAATATCTGACCTAAATCCTGGCTACCAGCACAGCACCAAGCGCCACTCCTCAACCAATACTGCAACACAAGTGAAGGGGAAACGGCACACCACGAAGAGACGTCCTGGAGCTCAACCCCGAAATGGAGACAACGGGCCCCGCGACTGCTATGACACGAAGAATAGCAACAGCCGGCTGATCTTACCAGCGCTGGGCATAGGATGAAGTGCCTACCACACTGCCTCAAACGGGTGAAGGGAATGTTGGGAGCACACGATCCAGCTGAGCACCCGGACCCTGAAGCATAACTCAAGCCACGAATGGACTATGCTCATACGATCTCATGGACTGGTGGTAATAACACTAAAACTCAGGGGAAAAACGTTCCTGATAGTCCTATGGACACTGAAAATTGATACAACAGTTAATACCCAAGCTTAGAATGCGTAAGGATGCTACTTTGAGTACTAGGCTGAACATAGCAATGTGCCACAGGGCAATTATGTCTGGAAAGAATAGAGATATTAAGGTATAATATAGGCAAGTGATAGCAATGTTTTATATTAGGATGCCTCATCACCTAAATACCCACAGCATAAAGTTTCTATGCACTATGTCATAACTAGATACTGCTCTGCTACAAAACATGCTCACACTATATCGATTCTAGCATAGGCGAACCAGCACAGTTAAGCACCTAGCATCTTTATCTTACTTAATCTTATTTAAACCTACTCTGACGTAACGACAGTTTAGTTAAGCATGCAAAACATATAAAAATGTGCAAATTATCATGCCACTGTTTATCTTTTATGAAGCTTGAAATACGCTGTTGTGGCATCCGTTGAAATCTTGTAACCATCTGCACAACCCAAAATAAAGAATTGAAAAAAAAAAAAGAATAGGATATTATAGAGGAAACAACTGCTCTCCAAAAATGTCTTCACATATAAAGCTTACAAAATATAAAATGGGTGCTTTTATAATGGTTTAGAGACAATATTCTGTGAATGGATGGGTCAAATATTTAACACAAAATATATATATTATACTTAAAGGAACACTATAGTTACAAAATAACTTTAGCTTAATTTAGAAGTTGTTGTGCATAGATTATGCCTCTGCAGTCTCATTGCTCAATTATCTGCCATTTAGGAGTTAAATCACTTTGTTTATGCAGCCTTAGGCACTCCTCCCTGCATGTGACTTACACAGCCTTCCTAAACACTTCCTGTAAAGAGTCATCTAATGTTTATACTTCGTTATTGCAAATTCTGTTTAATGTATAATTTCTTATGTCCTGCTCTGTTAATAGCTTGCAAGACCCTGCAGGAGACTCTTGTCTGTTATTACATTTCAATTTACATAGCAGGAGATAACTTTCAAAATAAGATACATCTGCTTGAAAATGAAACCTTTTTGTTTTCATGCAGGCTGTGTGAGTCACAGCCAGGGGAGGTGGTGCTTGGGCTGTATAAACAGAAACAATAGTGATTAAACTCCTAAATTGCAGGAAATTGAGCAGTGAAACTTCAGAGGCATGATCTATACACCAATACTGCTTCATTAAGCAAAAATAGATTTTGTGACTACATTGTCCCTTTAAATTTAACTTTAATGGCATCGTGACTTAATAAAAGTAAACAGATTGCTCAAATACTTTACCATTGCCCGAGGTGGTGGGTGGGATGCCCATGCCACATTAACCAAAAATGGCACAGTGTGTCAGACCCTTATAGAGATCCTTATTAGAGAAGAGGTCTGGTATTATAAAAATACAGTCTTCCAAAGAAAAGGTTTTTAAATTTAAAGCAAAATGTCTCTGAGCTTTGTTAAACATATTTCAGGGTCTTTTGCCATGAAACAAGTGCTGGTTCGGGTCATTTCTTGCAACTGCTGTCATTGGTAATCATTCAGTCATCCTGGCACCTGGCACCCCGACTGGGTACCTCCATTTATCGATGCTCCTAGTGCTTCCCAAGGGCTCCAAGCACTCCACTTGACACCATAAGCACTGCAGACCCCACAAACTGTCGCAGCTTGGTTGGCGTCTTGCTGTCTCCTACCCACCCTGGACCTACGACAAGTCTCCAGGTTCGCGTGGGTGAACCTTCCCCAGAGAGTAAAGCAAGAACAAGCTCTTACAAGAGCTTAGCAATTATTCAAGGGAGTATGAAGAGCATATAAATCCCTTGTAGCAGATTCCCCCAATAAGAGACAGGACTCTAAATTGAGGGTGAAGTAGAACTGGTTTAATGAGCACAAAGGCATTTCTTATATACAGTTTTCCCCACAAGGGTACTACCCACGTGGACCTTGTGGAGCACAGAACACAAACTCACAACAGCCAATCAACACAGTAATGTACAGTTAGACACTCCCAGATAATGTACACAAACCCTTCCCTTTGCCTGTGATACAATTACCAAACACAATGGACTAACTCAATTACCACAGGCAGAAAATATCCAGTTTTACCCAAAGTCCAGAAACACCCCAAAACAACAACATTTCCCTACAAATCCTACATCCATGTATAGCCCTGATCTGGGTGAACAACATATCCAAAAATCACCCAGATCAGAGCAGGGGTTCAAAAGTTTTATGGAAGTCACAGTTGACTGATCGCAAGCATGGCTTTCATGCCCAAAATAGTCCCACAGATTTAGGCTGTGCGGCCGGTCTATCTTCTCCTCTATCCTGGAGATAATTGGCTTAAGTGGCTGTGGTAAGCCAATTATCTCCAGGTACAGGAAACATCTCTAAGTCCAAAAAAATGTTACAAAAACCACATAATAATACAATGTTTAACCTATATGTCCAACATATCCCCAGATAGCTTGGATCTGAGTGCTCAATATGTCCGAACAGCGCTCAGATCTCACAAATACAGATGGATCACCATGTGGTTAAAGTTGTCTCTTTTGACTGACCGCAAGCATGGCTTTCATACCCAAAATAGTTCCACAGATTTTGGCTGTGCGGACGGTCTATTTTTAATGTTAAAAGTGCACTATAGTAGGGTGAGGTCAGAAAATAGGAAGGGCTGATGGGAGATAGAGGAAGGACAAAGCAGCCAGTTTAAACTGGTATGGCAGTGTCCCTGGGACAACACCCTGCTGGAGAAACAATAGGACAGGGAAAAGGGGGAGGGAAAGATTTAAAGGGGCAGAAAAACTGTTTTAAAATCCAAAAAGCCCAAATAGACTTTTTAAATGGCAATACACCCAGGTCGCAGGGCAGGAGGCTGGCAAGCAAGCCCCTCCAAAAACTCATAGCAAACTCCCTTAAAAATGGCAGTTTGTCACACGTGGATTCCCAAGACCAATCTGCAGAACGGAGGATATCCGATAGTGAAGCACCCGCCGAGAAAGCCGAGGAAGCCATCGCCCCGCGAACAGCGTGAGCCCCGAACGCAGTGTCGGCGCCCGCCAGAGAAAAACCCATCGTATCCATGTGGGGAGTGTAGTGACTGAGACGGGATCATGTGGTCTAACATAAGACACTAATAACTGACCCGAAGTGGAGACCCGGAGCTGGGACATTACCTCCACATAGCGTTGTAAGGTAGAAACAACACAGAGTTGGGGGTCGGTAACGCAAAAGGGGTAGAAAACCGACGTTGAGTCCGATTTCGTATGACCGGAGACCCGAAAGGTGACTCCCTCCGGGGAGACAGAAAAGGCGTCTATGTCAAAAGCCCGAACATCAGTTACCCGGCGGAAAGAAACAAGGTGAAAAAGGAGAGTTGTTGGAGAGTCTGTCGTTAGGAGGCCAGTCTCTCAAAAATCGCAGGACAATTTCGATGTCCCATAAACGTGAGTATTTGGGTCCCAAGGGTTGTTGCAGTCAGATGCCCCTTAGGAGTCGACATACTAGGGGATCTTACCCAACCGGGATCCCTAGAATAGGGATGTGGACCGCCGGAAATGCACACCGTTAATTGACTGATAAGAACGACCTGTGGAAAACAGGTAGGATAGAAAATTCAGAATGGATGGTATAGGGGCAGTAAAGGGATCGAGGTTCCATTCCACACACCATGTGGACAAGGAAGTCCAAGCCGAGAGGTAACATTGTCTTGTTCCCGGTGCCCAAGAATCCCATAGGAGGTCCCTAGCAGCCTGCGATAGTTCGCCGACCTGCCAGGCACCCCGGAAAGAGTCAGAGCCACCAGGGTGAGTCGATTGTCCAGGATTAGAGGATGAGGGCTCCCTTTCGGATCCGTGAGGAGTGTCGGATAGGACGGCAGTAGAAGAAGGTCCGCGTAGGACAATGTTAGGACGTCCGGGAACCACGGATGGCCCTGCCATAGGGGAGTGATGAGTAGTAGAGATACACGTTGGTTCCTCAGGTATTGGATTGTTCTCGCTATCATAGCGAAGGAGGGAAACGCGTACACTCCAGTGATCGGCCACGGTTGTAGGAAAGCATCCACTGCCCTGCTCTCTGGGTCGGGGAGCCAGCTGAAGTAGTCCTGCATCTGTCTGTTGTTGCATGACACAACCAGATCCAGGTGAAAGGGGCCCCTCTGTACCGAGAGGCTGTTGAAGATTTAGGGGTCTAGTCTCCAGTTGCTGCCATCCCACCAGTGCCGGGAGAACCAGTCTGCTGTGAGGTTTGTCACTCCTGGTTGGTATTCAGCTTTGAGGGAGATGTTGCGGGATAGGCAGTAGTTGAAAATTTCTTTCATTATTTCCGACAGGAGCTGGGATCGGGCTCCACCCAGGCGGTTGATATAGGAGGAGAATGCAGCAGTCCGATTTGTCCCTCACCAGGCTGCGAATGGCAAAGGATCCTGCTAGGAGCTCCAGGCAGTTTATGTGCATGCTGAGTTCCTGTGAAATCCATACACCTTCTCTCGATATACCGTCGCTCGCCTTGTAGTGGAGTGGTCCTGGGAAGATGGCCTGTATGGACATGGACAGGAACCGTACTATCCAAGCAAGATTGCGAAGTGGAATGGTGTGGCAGCGCATGACTTTGCGTAGTTCCTTGCGAATGGCCAAGATCTTGATGCTGGTAGTCGTAGCGTGCTGGAATTAGAATCTATCTCAAAGCCTAAGAGTTGTACTGTCTGGGCCAGGGATATTGCCAACTTATGGTAGTTCAAAATGAAACCTAGTGATTTCAGGAAATCCATGGTATATTGATTGTGTCGTGTCAGTCTGGACCTGTCAGAGCTGAATAGCAGGAGGTCATTCAGGTAGATAATGCATCAAATT